TTGGTTAATAGTAGAATCCTGCAAAGAGCAATCAATCAACCATCAACCAGCAACCATCAACCAGCAACCAGGAACCCTCAACCAGCTACCAGCAACTAGCAACAGAGGAAGTTGTGAGTAAAAGCAATTATCACTTATCGGGCAATAAAATGGTGATATCTCTCTTAAAAGTACTTGTATTAAATTTTGCTAACTGTCTAAAGTTCACAGTTTTTTTTCTGCCTGTATCGAAACTAAGGTTTGAATCTTCCTGTATCTCTGTTCCTATGACCCTCTGTTAAGTATTGAAGTGTGGAATGTGTTGTATTTCTATATTTGGATTTTATCTCAAGGCACAGCTTTGAATCCCCTGAGGTTTGAATATCTACAATTCATGGGCCTTCATCAGTTTCATCACTACATCTTTTAGGTCTTTATTCAGTACTCTATTCAGTACTTTATTCAGCACTTTATTCGGTACTCTATTCAGCACTCTATAATTCAGTACTATATTCAGTACTCTATTCAGTGATATTCAGTACTCTATTCAGTACTATATTCAATACTCTATTCATTACACTATTCATTACTCTATTCAGTACTCTATTCAGTACTTTCTTCAGTATTCTATTCAGTACTGTATTCGGTACTTTATTCAGTACTCTACTCAGCACTCTATTCGGTACTCTATTCAGTACTCTATTCAGTACTCTAAAATTCAGTACTCTATTCATCACTCTATTCATTACTCTTTTCAGTGCTACTCAGTACTCTATTCGGTACTCTATTCAGTACTGTATTCAGTACTCTATTAATTGCTCTGTTCAGTACTCTATTCAGTGCTATTCAGTACTCGACTCAGTATTCTATTCAGTACTCTATTCAGTACTTTATTCAGTACTCTATTCAAAACTCTATTCAGTACACTACTCAGCACTCTGGTCAGTGCTCTATTCATTACTCTATTCAGTACTTTATTTAGTACTCTTTTCAGTAAACTATTCAGTACTTTATTCAGCACTCTGTTTAGTACTCTATTCGGTACTCCATTTAGTACTTTATTCGCTACTCTTTTCAGTACTCTATTCAGTACTCTATTCATTACTCTATTCAGTACTCTATTCAGTACTCTATTCAGTACTCTATTCAGTACTCTATTCAGTACTCTATTC